TGAAGTGAGGAAAGCCTTTCTATTGCTGCAGAATTCCACTTTTACACGTAGATAAAATTAGATTCTTATCAAGGCTGGAATAATATTTGTTGTCTTCAGGGCCACCAAAAGACTTGCGTACCTTTTTTTTAAGTGATTCTGCACAAAAATCTGAAACATATCCGAAGAAAATGTGGGTTTCGAGGAAGCTCTTGTTTCATAATTGTTGAGCTTACTTCCATTTCGAGTGAAAGTGTTGGGTGAAGAGACAAACACACTCACTAACCAAATCCCTTTATACTTGATCAAAGAGGTCAGATTTAGAGTATATATACCACTTTTTAGGGATTTGCCGATGAGTTTTCTTGACTCGTTAGCCTGAATTTTGTTTTTACGATGTTACCTCGCTTTGATGATGTCCGTCATATGACGGACGAAAGCTTAGCACCTTTTCACCGGAATCGAAGGAGATTCTCGGATATAGCGTCAGCATGAATGTTCCAGTAAAGCCAATCGACAGCTAATCAAAAGGAATCCGCCGTCGTCTTCTGGTGGAAATGACCTTCAAATCTCTTTACCCAACACTTTCATTTGAAATAGAAGTAAGCTTAACAATTCTGAATTATAATTAAAAACAATTTTTTAAAAGGGGGCAATTTAAAAGTGAAAAGTAGAAATTGATCCTATTCTTCATCATATGATCTGCGGATTGCGACTGGCAACAGTGTCGTGTCTGCCTCTAAGCGTGTTTCGATATTTCCTCAAAAACGCTTAATATTTACCAGCGCCGCCAATTTTACTCTTGCCTACATTCAGGTATCTCATACGCTTGCAATGCTATCCCCGGATGAGATCAGAGGAAAGGAAAAACGACTCGTAAGACAGACTCCATTACAACAATCGGTACGTCATCAAACGCTTCGATTCTTTATTTTTTCCAGTCTAAGGTCACCCTTAAGAAGAAGGAAGGTTGAGAAATGGTAGGTTTAGCAGCCTACAAACTCTCGGCTCAAATATAGAGTCCAGCTTTCGACAAGCTTATGTGGGATCAGGCAAAATAGACACAAATTCATCCAATCCCACTTGGAGACACAGAATGGCCTCAATTTCTCAAAAGAGATCGCAAATTGCAAAAATCATGTCAATATCCATTTTAAAGAACATGGAAATCCGCGAGAACATAAAGGCCTGCCCCGCCCTGTAGAAAATTGGTAATGGGGGACAATATATTTGTCAAGAAACACTCAGAGTCGAATAAATAGGTCATTTGATAACAAGTAACCCTGCTCGCAGGTGATCTCAGCGGTTTAATAAGATTTTTACCATTGTCTAGCATATTTCCTGAAAAATCCTTTAATTCTCTTATCTTTTGGCATCCAATCGCTGCTCGTGTTCTTTATTCCGTCAAGAGGCTTGGCAACAATTGTTTACCAAACTTCCAACACGTCATATGCAAAAGCAGTTATCTTCCACGAACTAACACAAACACCATTGCGGAAGCTGCATACAAGAAACATCGAGACCGAAATTTCCCAATCTCTTGCAGCTGACTTTGTTGTCAGTCGCCCAATAAGACCCATTTTGTTGCAGATGTTCTAATAGGAAAAGTGGAAATCAAGCTGGATCTGAATGGTAAGAACGATTCTCCAGAAGTGGTCAGACTTACTTCGATCAGGCCCTGACAGAATCGCAACAGCATGACTACAATAAAATGGCTCCTGCAAGCAAGCGGCTGGAAGAGATTGATAAAGGCAGTTCCGCCGACAGCGATTCCGAATAGTTTGTTGGCCGGAAACTTGGAAGCAATAACACCGCCTGGGATCTGCGTAATCAAATATCCATAAAAGAAGGAACTGTCAACGAGACCCTGGTCAGCCGGGGTCCAAACGATGTCCGGTTTCTGAGACGAAATATAATAATGAAGGCGAATTCGCAAAGTTGAATGCATGTGGTTAAAATATACAGCTACAGAATATTCAAAAGTAGGTAAAACATTTAGAATGTAAATATGTAAATTTAAGCAATCTGATGGAAGCATGAGAATCTTAAATAGAGCAAGAAGCATATCCATCTATTCATCTATATTTTTATTTGCATATCTTGTTTATTTCCTTAAAATGATGTAAATAAAATCTCAAGCGTATGAATTATTCAAATATTACTCAATCATATCGTGTCAACTAAGGCATAGAACTTGGCACTGCGTTTCAAATTTGAATCGCTATCTCCAAGCTTCGCCGTATAAAATAGAAATGAAATGCTGTTATGATGCACGACGAACTTTACTGAAATCATAAAATGAGTTTTTCCCTATTTTTCCCAATCCGCATTGCTAATAAATACTTAAGAAGGCGACAGGGGTCTTCTAGTTGTTGCACAAACTTATTATGTCCACTCAGTTGTTTAAAGGGCAAAATCATGTTAAATAGCATGGCACAATTGTTTTATCCTATTTTTGGGATATTTATTAATCTATACTGCAAAAGACAATTTAAGGGATGGGCGGCCTTCAGATAGTAGGAGCGCAGACTTCACCTAAGAGACATGTAATAAATACTCACGTGTCCAGATTGTAAGAACATGAGAAATGCATAACAATTTTTATAGTATGGACATTAGAGAGACCGTTAAAGGTGGCGAATATAAATGCAATTTTGCAGGGTGTGCTCCGGCGAAACCATCATTCCTCCTCCTATTTAGCAGTATTATTCAGTTTTACTCTAAATGCAATGGCGGTAATTATGGCTTGTAAGAATATAATTCATTCAGTATCATGCCAGCACTTTGGATAATCAGAAATTTCGATAATCTATTTAAACGAAACGGGTATTTGAGACAAGTATTATATATTCTAATTGGCACGACCTTGCCGTTGAGGAAAGGAATACGCCTTGGCTCGCAAAATGACTCGACATATTTCGATCAGAAATGATGATGTTTCATCTTAACTCCGAACGAGTGAACTTTGGGCAGGGCCAGATTTATCCCACTTTTGTGTGGACTGTCGCACTTGAGGATTGGCTTTCTTTTGCTAGATTCCGATCTGAACTGAGCAGAAGTGCAGATTAATTAATAAATGTTTTAAAACAGAGAAGATCAGAGAAACAATCCCGAATGCACGAAATACACAGTTTAGAAACATTATTTCCAGAAGTATCCTTTACAAATATTGTCTGATTATTTTTCGAAGAAAAGTTGAGTTTCGAGGAACTGTTGAGCTTACTTCTATTTCGAATAGAAGTGTTGGGTGAAGAGATTCGGAGGTCAGTTCCACCAGAAGACGACGGCGAATTCCTCTTGACCAG